CTGATGCTAAAACAACCTTATGTGCAATAACTATAGAGCCATTCTCTGTTTCGAATTTAATATCACATAACACTTCATCTCTAAAAGCAAACAATATTGTCAGTTTAAGTTATTTCGTTATACCTAAAATAGCTGCTAATTTAAATCACTGCATACTTCCTTAAAGATTGAAGGCATTCAAAAACATCTACCTTGTGAGATCTATTTTTGAATTTTTTCGTTTCACTTATTTTAAATTTCAAAACTCTCTTTTGTTCATCTTCGCGCGGTAAAATATGTTGTATAGCATTTTCATCCATCTCTGTTAAGCCTTTTAAAATATATTAAAAATTGTATATATTAATAAATAATTACTATATATTTATTGGGTATTATCAAGTTTAAGTTAGTAAGGATTAAATACCAGTTATATAAATATAGTCCTATTTAAATATTATACATTTTTAAGTAACTAATAATTATTTAGTTATGTACCTACCTCGTATATAGAACCAAACAAATAATTACACCCAGTGTGAGGTTTAACCACTATAACTTTTATTTCAACAGTAATACTATGTTAATACACAAATTCACGGATTTAGAGAAGCTCCGGTGTCCTTGCCAAGACTGACATCTCCTGAAGCGGCTGTAGGCTCCAGCGCGGTCGAGCAGCTCAAAATTGTCCACGCAGCGGAATGTCATGTAATATGACCGTGTCTGTTCCCAGCGATACGTATACTATATCTAAATAAACGAAATGTTTATACTACAATTTACTAATACTAAATGAATGGATTCATAAGACGATAAGACAATTACAAATATAAATAATAGTAAAAATAACGTATAGGCAATTAATAATGTGCCGATAGGAGTAGGTAGAGAACGGATAAGTACTGTAAGTAATTATATATTGGCATTTTGAGTTTCACATAGCAAGAGCAACATTTTTCATTATTAATCGTTTAACAGAAAAGTGAGAACCTAACGCTTTTCATCTGTACATATATTGATATATTTATCTGTTTATAGAGGTATAACTATAATGGATTAATTGAAATTGAACAACGTATCATTGTATACGAAAAACGATTCTGATCGAAGACTATATTATGTTAGTCAGCCTATTATAGTATTAAAACAGTAGGAAAGTAGATAAGTGTATAAGTAATAATAATTATATTATAATGTATATGATATTTTTGTGAATAAAGTAATTTACTTTACAATAATACTAAGCATTAGTCTTACAGTAGGTCAAATTAATTTTCGCTGAAAAAATTGCATTTTAAAATATCATTACTTATATTATAAAATATAATAAATAATAATATATATTTTAAAAGGATCAAGTACCCACAAACAATATTTTTGCAACAAGATAACTTACATCGTTATTCTTCGTTTAAATATCTAATTTTGTCCAAATTTGAACTTAAAACATCTATAAAATAAACTGTTTTTATATATTTTTTTATATTTTTTTTATCTATTTATTAGAATTCTTGTTTTAAAAGTCCAACTCTTAACTATAAAATTGTAATTTTTAAACATTTTTAACTACAAAATGATTTGCAAATTTTTGAGACTGGTCGAAATTTGAAATTTAAATGCTTACAAAAAAAAATCGTGTATAAAGCTTTAATATATTTAAACCACCATTATAAAATGTTATGAAACCTTGTTTTAAATTTTCAAGATTTTCTGCCTCAACGAAAAAATTTTTATTAACATTTAGAGAAAAAAAATGAAAATTGTATCTTGCCTAGTAAATAATAAAATGAACATTTGGTGGAAATTTAAAGTATCTGCGGTAATTCGTTTCTGAATTACAACAAAATAAGAAAATCGTCCGATGAAAATTCATTAATTTACGCCTGAAAATCTAATGACAAAAAAATTTAAACTTCAGACGCTCGTAAAAAACTATTGAACATTTACAAATAATTTTTTTTTAAATTTCCACTAACATCAACTTATGAGGAAACCTTATATTACATTTTCAAGTATTTAGACTGAGCAAACACTTTTTTATAAATATACCTATCAAAATATGCCTAAAAATAACTCAAAAAGAGTCAAAATATTTTGAAAGATGTATTGATGTTTAGAAAAAGGTATTATAAAAATGTGGTGCAAATATAAAGTATAATAACAATCGATTATTTTTAATAAATTAAATATTCCTATTTCTTCGCTGTTTTTCTGTTAAGTTGTATTTTTAGATTTTGAACGAATCGATGAATTTATTGATTTTAAAATAATCTGTGGTTTTTTTATTATTTTTATTTTTATTTTTTATTTTTTGTGTCTGTACACGATAAGTAGTCGAAATAATGATTCGATTTTCAACTTCAGTATCTTGTTCGATGGGAAAGTGAATATTGTTGGTGCATTGGGGAGGTCAAAATTTAAAATTCCCAGTAATTTTTAAAAGCTCCAAAAAAAACAAAATAAAAATTAAGGAAAAACGGGAATTTTTAAGCAAAATCGATTTTTTTACAAAATCGACTATGGTTTTTGGCGTAACTTTAAAACAAATGACCGTAGATACATGAATTTTTCACAGGTTGTTTATATTTGCATTTTCTATATTTGCATTTTCTATACATGTTAAAATTTTCAAAATATTTTCATTCATTTTATGAAAATAACAAAGGATCTAGGAACTAATCGGGTTTATATATATATTTCTATATCTCCCCCAATCCCCTGAGTTGAGCTTTTAATTGTTGTTGAAAGCTATAATAATAATAATAAAAAAAATTACAATTTATACATATAAAATTATCAATGATCCCAAAGCTCAGCTCATGGATCGAGTATCGACGCATTGTTTACAATATCTATACATACACGCACCTACGACAAACGTAAAATCACTAAAATGTAATAATATATAATAATAATTGTATTTCAACCTGGAAATTTCACTAGACGCCATAATCGCCATACAACAATATACGTATTTTATCGTTAACATTAAGATTATTAAGAGGACGTTGCACCCGCTGCATGTGTCTCTCCGTCTTACAAATACTACCATTATAATCTATCCAACTAAAATGGGTTTTTTTGTTAGTGCACAAAATGCACAATAATATGTTCCAATTCTATACTTGTAGGCTTTATGCCTTTACTAGTAATATTATAGTCATTTGTTCTATGGTCATTAGTAAATAGGTTATATTATATATTTATATGAGCCATTGTAAATTTCGCAAGAATACCTGTTAGATAAATAGAATCTACCTATATTATGTGATAATGAAAAGGTCAAATTTAAACACCGCCAGTTTTATTTTCTTACCTTTAATCACGATTTAAGATATACCTTAAATATCTTAAGTACCTATATCTTAAATCGAGCCTTTAATGTGTAAAATAAGGAAACGGGTGATAACCGCCTTGCTTATGTACAAGTTCATAATATATTATCTCAACCAAATAAACTCAAAAATGCAAAATGAAAAAAAGGTGCTCTGCTGTACAGTAGGTTACAAGTCTGTCACTGTATAATGGATAGTATTACATTTGAATTCAATGATATAATATCATTGTATATTTGTATAAGAAAAACGATTCTGAGCGGAGTTGGTATGTCTGCAGCTGTCTAGGTTTAAGACATATTATATACCAACATAAAGCTATATTGTATTAAAAAAACCTATAAATACCTATATAGGTACCTATAATAAATTCCAAATTTATCATAACACAATATCCCTTAGGGCTTAGGTACTTAAACCGCGTTATACATCAACAACAAAGCGTGATACTATCATAGATATTATATATAATACTATGTCAACAATTAAGAATCTTGTATTCAATTTTTAAATGTTTGATATAAAAAGAAAATGTTTAATGAATTTCTAACTCAAAATAATATGCAAATTTTCGTGACTTATTATGAATTACCTACGTCAAAATTCCAACTTTAAACGCTTATGAAAAAAATATCTTGACTGTATTTTCGATGATTCCGGAAAAAAAATGTAATAAAGTATATTTAAGGTATAGTCTAAAGTCTAAACCACATATTAAGATGGTATACTATCTCCATTCGTAGTCTGAAACTCTGAACAGCGCAGAATAATAATAATATATAGATCTATATCCGTGATGATAGTCATCAAACGATCGTTACTATTATATTATGTTCGTGGACTGATCGACTGAATGTTATCAAATTTATCATTTAATAATTCTTTCCTTATCGGCCGCCAAACCGGTCGCCACTGGCCGTTTGCCGGTGACTGGTCTTCACGACTCCACGGGCTGTGAAAAGTTGATAATAATAATTACGGAAATTACTAATTTGATAGACGCAATAATGTATACAGCACGGTGTAGAAAAGATATGTTATATTAACATTATCTTCTCTACATCGTGGTAAATAGTATTTCGCCAGTTGACACTTTGGTTTTGAAACTAGCCACTATAAGAAGACACCAAGCAGTAAGCTCGCGCCTAGCAGTGAGGCGGTTTTCAATCGTCATTCCGCATTCGTGTCTCTCTGCTCTCTCCCCTTCTGCTTCTCGTGTCCCCGACCACGACTCACCAGTCACCAGTCGTACTCACACAGTCGCATTACTGATTACTCTGTAGTCGTCAGTCGGTACTGTTCAGTCTCATTGAAATTCTTTGTCGTTGACGTCATCCCCAGACGGGAGGTGCGTAAAACAACTAATGCTTTATACAGTATCAATACACTATACAATATATATTTTTTAACATTCATTATTGCTAACCTTTCGTTCGTTCGTTTTTTCTTCCACTCGTTACTTCGATAAACGGCTTAATCTGCTATGACGATGATTCATCGTTTCGACACTCAGCTTCCGTTTGCTCCGTACGTAGCTGTTAAAATTCGCACTCTGCTATTACGCCAATAGTACATCAATATTTCCAACTAGCAGACCGATCAGTTTTTTTGCACTCGCAGATCCAACACTCATAAACCCTACGAAAATCATCATCCGCTTACAAGAAATTTCACGTCGGACAAATGACAATGGCTTTGGAACCGGAAGAACACTTCAAGACGCCCGAATGGGTTTCGAGGTTGGAGAATAAACACAAAAAAGTACGTAAATACAATAATTTCGTTGTTTTTCATAGATGCAATTATTCTACTATTTTAATCAACTAAATAATAACATAACGTGTTCTGTATAAGAATCGTTTACCCAAGTTAAATGTGAATTCCATATTTTCTATACCAACTTATAGAGTAATACTAACCCGAGTACTTAACCACCTCGACTAGATGACATTTTTTCGTTTAAGGTAGGACTCGGGGGTACCAATTAATGTTTTTGAAGGGCCACTTTAGACATTTTGAAATTGTTCTTGGCCCATCAAAATTGCAGTCAAAACCAATGAACAAAAATTATAAATTACACACTAGAACTTATAGTTAACCGGTTTTACTTTTGTTTTTCTTATCTGCGGTCTGGATAAAATTTGTCCACGGGGCGCATGTGGCCCGCAGTCCGCCATTTGGTGACGCCTGAGGTAGGTAACCCACTTAACATCTGTTTAAAAAGTTGAACATTTTAAGAAGTTACTTACCTACATTTTTTTATTTTATTCACTATCAATAACTAGATATTAAGCAATTATTACAATTATATAATTTATGGTATCTAGGTATTCAAATAATTTTTGTAACATATTTGGTTTTTGTTTGAAGAATTTTAATGATTTTATAATACCTATATGTAGTATGTACTGTATATAAGGTTCGTATACACTGGTGGTTTAACAGCTATAATATTGGATGAAACATTTTCAAAGTATTTAATTTGTTATTTATTTTGATTATGATTTATAACCCCCCCTCCCCCATTTTATTCTGTGTTTAAACATTGGTACCAGACTTACATACATTGTAAAAAATACTTAAATATATGGGTATTCACTATTCATAACTATTAAATTAGGTTTTTTTTGTAGGTTTTATTAGTATTTTCCAGGCTATTTTTAATTTTTATAATTCATCAATGAAAAATTACCTGGCATGGGTACACATAGGTATTATCATTAATAAAATTCATTGAAAGTATATTTAATGAATGGTATTATGTATCTAATAACAATATTTTATTTATATTTATATATTTTATTTTTCAGTTTCATAAATTAGCTCATGAAGTTGGATCTGGTTCAAGTTGTTTAAAATGTGGAGATGCTTGCCCTGGCTTGGATTTACATTTTTGGAGAAAGGTGTGTAGGAATTGTAAATGTAAAAGAGAAGAACATAATATTGTAGATGAAGATCAGTATAAACAGTTAGATATTTTATTCAACGATTCAAAATCGAATTACCAACCAATAAAAGCAGGTAAAGTATTGTAAAATAAATAGGTTTATGCACGTGTATTAATTGGTTTAATATTTTTGTTTCAGTGTTGAATATGATTATTAAACCTGATGACCAGTTTGTCAAAAAACGAGAAACTGATCAAAATCAAAATGAATTTAAATTTGATTGGGTCCCACCAAATGTTCATAAAGATCTGGCTTCAGAATACATGCAGTTGTTACCATCTGACAAATTACCTATTAGTGGTAGTGAAGGTGCTTTTTACAGACGCAAACAGCTTGAAAAACAAGTTCCTTTACATGATTTTAATGCAAACGTTTGTCATAATCTTACCATTGAAGAAGCTGATGCTATGGGTTCTTATTTGAAAAATTTAAAAGAGAATGCTGTTGGTCAAGGCTTGGTCAAAAAACTTACTGATAACACTAATAATCCAATTCCACTGTTTAAAAATATGAATTTAACACCCAAACCATTTAAAAAAACTTATAACCAAAAATTTGAAGAAGAAGAGGAATTTCCACCTCCTCCTCCGGAACTTTTGTATCCGTTGTCTAACTCTGAATTGAAGACACCAAGCACATTTATTGGGAACAAAAGCTATTCTGGAAGTAACAAACCAGACGTCAATATGTTAGACACTGTCAACAACAATCCAGCTGAATGTGACACACAAGTTATTACTTCACCATGGCCAACTTCAAACATAGCTGTATCAGAAACTTTACCCCAGCAACAGACAAATTTCTCCTCAAATATTCAGAATGATAATTACACACCTACGCTGAATGATAAGGATATTGGTGAATCATTAAAAAATCTTCCCTGGGAAGGTTCAAACGAATTCCCAACATCTAATGCTGATATATGTATATTACCGGACGGACAAGAATTGCGTTGTAAGCAATGTAATAAGAATGTAATACCAGGTCAAGTTGCTGTGATGGCTGAACGCACTGGTAAAGAAGTATTTTGGCATCCACAGTGTTTTGTTTGTGCCACATGCGAAGTAAGTTTTATAAAATACATGAGTAATAATCCTAATATTGTAACAATCATATTTATTTGTTTTATAGGAACTATTAGTTGATCTAGTGTACTTTTACTATAGTGGGAATGTTTATTGTGGTAGACATTATGCTGAAATCTTAAATATACCACGATGTAATGCTTGTGATGAGGTGAGATTGCACTATTACAATTTACATTTTAATACCATGGTTATCATTGAATTATAAAATTATATATATTTTTTTCTAGTTGATATTTTTGAAAGAGTATACAATTGCTGAGGACCATACCTATCATGTTCGACATTTTTGTTGTTTTGAGTGTGACAAACCATTAGCTGGATTAGAATATGTGTCGATTGAAAAACAACCTGCGTGTTTGGATTGTTATCAAATAAAATATGGAAAAGTATGTACATTCAAATACTTCTAAAATTCAGTATATTTTATAAATGAGTATCTATAATTTTGTTTAGAAATGCGAAACCTGTCAAAATATTATAGTGGCTGGCGATAATAGGATTGGTTGGCAAGAGTTGAGCTGGCATGAGTCTCCGGCATGTTTTAAATGTTATCAGTGTTACACATCGCTTTTAGGTAAAAAGTTCACGGTAAAAAAAGAAAAGCGGCCCTTGTGTAGCAGAGAATGTGTAATAGCTTTTAACAATTCTACAGAACTTTAATATTGTGTTATATCGATTTTTGTAATACAAGGGGATTCATCAAGTACTTCTGATCTTTAGTGGTGGAATAGTGATAACTTTATTATCCTACCACTAAATAACCATTATGCTTAATGAATCATCTTGTGTACATTTAAATATTAATAGTTTTAATGATATTTTTACAAATGTTTTTACTAAATTATGAAGACAATACAAATTTAAATCAAACTAATGTCTGTGATACATATATATTTAATACTTACAATATAATTTAATTTTCTTATTACAAATATTATTTTTTACTATTATTATAGATAAAAAAAGTATTTTTACAATAAGAAAACATTTTAATTAAATATTTATATATTATATTTTACTTTCATAGTCTTCATTTTTATACAGACAGAGAAGAAAATGAATTGTTTAAAATTACATTTCACTACCATTTTTTTTAATTTAAAATTATGTATTGTCTTCTATTTTATTTATCAAAATACATATTAAATTATTTATTATTGCTTCATATATTCTCAAGTAAAATTATTTTAGCATTCCAATAATGTTCCTATTTAAATATATTTTTTTGAATTTTATATTATAAATACAATTTTATTATTGCAGAATTCTATTGTGGATTATAAATATCACTTAACAGGGTAATTTTTATTAATTTGCCATAATTTCAAAACTACTGTGATAATTATACATCTGCCATTTATTATTGTACTTTTTAACAATATATTTTTATTTAAAATTATATTTTATTGTGTTAAATTATTTTATAATTCAAAAGAAAAAAAAACATTTATGGATAAAAAATATATTTATATTATTTATCTTGTGCATATTTTTAATGACAAAAATAATAATATCTAAATCCTAAGTTCTAACACATTGTAAATTAGTCATTTGTCTTTGGAAATATCTTTGACGTGCTTCTTCAAAAACATTACCAACTGTCCTCTTTAACCAAATATTTATTTTGGGTTTAATTTCTTTCGGTTTACTTTCATTTTTCTCAGGTTTTTTGTCCTTATTGTCTTGGTCCCTATCCTTTTTGTCCTTTATCTCTTTAGTTTCTTCCATGGGTGGTTTTGGTTCTTCATTTGGTGCTGTATCATTTACCTTAGCTATTTCTACTGACTCTTTTAATTTTACTTCAGGCTCATCTACATTTTTCTCTACAGATTTTTTATCGTCATGAATTTCAATTTTTCTACGCTTGGAATCCACTGATGAATCAGAGTCCGATAGATCAGTATCTTTATCATCATTAGCATTATCATCATCTGAAGTGTTTGAAGAAGCACGCTTTCTATATTGGCGACTTGCATCAGGTTTCTTTGTTGGCTTTTTCACTTCATCAGTTTTATCATTTTCATTCTTGCACAATTCTTCTTTAAACAAATGTCTATAAAAACTACCCATGTCCTTCTGTTTTGTTACATCATTAATGTCTTCAATCATGGAAAACTTTAAATCTTCTTCATCCAGTTTTCTTAACTCTTCCAGTTTCGCTTTGTATGAAGCTGTGACAAACGCTTCTTTGTCTTTAAATTCGTCTCCTTCGGCTTCTCTTTCTTTTTGAATTAACCTTTCATTTCTGCGTTCATATTCAACCTTACGTTTCTCAGCTTGGACTAATAAATTTTGTATATACCGTGGCTAAAATGTAAAAAAAAATCAAATTAATAGGTGCATCGTACATGTTAAAAAAATACTTATAGTTTTGTATTACACATACCTTAGTATCTTTCTTCTTTTCATTATTATGTTCTTTTTTTTTCTCCATGTCATCATAAACTTCGTCGTACTGAAAAACTGTTGCGTCTTCTTTCAGAGCCTTGTCAATAGATAATTTTGCACTTCTTTGCTGAGCTTTAGTTTGGTTGTTAGTCTAAACATGTATGAAATAAATTCAATTCATAAAATAGTCAACAAAAACATATTATGTATCAATACAACAACATGGTTTTGAATAAATAAGAAAAATGTATAAAATGCATATCTTTGGACATTAACCAATAAGTTATTACAAATAATAATGAATTGAAGAAATTTATGTTTTTTATTTGGGTAAAATTATATATATGTAAATTCTATTTAGATTAGTATGTTTTAACCACAGTCGTTTAACATATACTGTGGATTCCGCATAGTGTGGGCACCGGTTATTATTGGCATCCGCTTAATATGGGCAAAATGATCTGGTCCCAATTCCAATGTATATCAACAAGGTTAAAAAAAATTGTATAATATAGGCACTCGGTTCGGTTTATGTGGACAATTTTCATTTTATTATAGCGTAAGAATATACACATATGTATTTAAAAACGAGTAATTTAATCGGATTTTGTCGTATCTATGAGATTGTGTTTATCGTAAGTCATAAAAAGCATTACATATTTAAACCTCAATGGGATTTTGTTGACTAAATGTACGTGTGTAAGTGTTATCAGAAGCGATACAAATAAAGCGATAGACACCATTTCTAATTGCGTTTCAGTTTTAACGTGAATACTGAATTTCAATGTCTCGAAAAGATCTCTCCCTCAAGGAAAAAATTGTGATTTTGAACAAGGTGAAATCGCTTTCTCCAGGCCCTTCACAACGTAAAACCACTGAAAAATTATTCATTATTTTATTTAGTATATTATATTTAGTTTTATTTATAAAGTAATTAAATTTTTTTTTCAATTGTATGATTCACGTGTGCTAAATAGAAATATTTTTGATATAATTTACTAATTTGGTTTTTATGGGCAACCTCTTAATGTGGGCAAACAGGAATGGTCCCAACGAGCCCACATTAAGCGGAATCCACTGTAATAATCTCATAACCGTAGTTGTAACTGTACTTATAATATTTAAGTTATAGTAGGAAGTTAGTTATTGGTAGACTTTCATAAATGCAATATATACGGTTGAATAAAATTTCAGTTATGATTTTTGTGAGTCAAAAAAAAAAAAAAAACTGAAATTTTTCATTGATATAATTGCCCAGAACATAATACTTTTTTCTGAGTATAGTTAATTATAAAAACTGATATCAATAAATACTTGAATGCGTTTTTTTGATGTTTCATTTTCAGAATCACTATCATCGCCAAACACATTAGTGATCTTCTTCGGTAGGTCTGACAGTTTTTTAGGTACAATTAATCCATACCTAGAAAGAAAACAACGATTAGTTATTTATTCATTCAATATTTAAAAGGAATATTTAAAGTATAGGTCTTGGTATTCCTCGAGATAAGATGTCAACTGGCCAAACATGAATTCAACGACCTATGATGTCGTTTAAAGCCTAATGTAATACATGTGGCATTGTACAAAATTCTGACGGCAAAAAAAACCGATACTATTATTAACCGCAACATCATTGCATCTCTTTTCACTCTTAATTAACATATTTTCTTTATCGTAAGGAACATTCCTTGCGAGTGAGAACAATTGTTTCTTTCTTTGCAATATATTGCCTAAAAGTGTATAACGCACAGCAAAGACATCCCATAATATGCTGATATGCACACCCATATTTAATATCAATGGTAAGAGCAAAAAATTGTTATTCATTTAAAGCATTGCATGGCTGCAAATTTTTTTTAACACTACCGTTCTGCATTGACAAACAATACCATAATATTATCTCGCTCACTTTTTACTACTGGAGGATTCCATGATGGCGCACGATTGATATTCCTATTTGTGTCGATGATAGGTAGGTACTCTAGAACTTCGTGTTGATTTTATTCATTATTGTTGAGGGCAACAAAACTACTGTAACACACGTTAGTACATTAGTGTATCATGACAAATTCAATTCAATATTTGTCGTGTAGTGGACACTGGACAATATAATATTATAATAATAAAATTATTGTTTTCGATAACGGATTTGTATTTTTTATGATTATATTATTATGATAAATATGATAACAATATTATTATGATTTTGTGATAAAACTATGAAAGAGCGCGTATTCACTACGACCATCTACGACAATAGCACAGAACTGTGATAATAGCAAATAGAGCATAACATGAGGCATACGCATAACTGAATCATTTTGTTCTAAACTTTTACGTCTTTTATTAATTATTATTTATTACTATACAATTAAATTGTAGTATTAGACAAGAAAAATTAAATATATTTAAATATAATTTGTAATTTATATTTATATTTGTAATATAATGTAATGCTAATGAACAAATTGTCGAAGCAGAAATTGTATACATTTCAAGACCAATAAAAAAAAAAAAAAAAATTTATTAATATTATGACAAAATAAATAGTATTCTACATTTCTACATGTAGTAACTAAAGAGGATAATATAACAGAATTTTCTCTAGTCGTGATGTACTAGTATCACAAAATAGATGAAAGTAAATCTGTTAAGTCTGTACCTTGTACTAACCTCCAGGTGGGTGGTGCACTGGTACGGTGTGGTGCAAGAGAAGTCGAGATTTTTTGTACGAAGTAATATTCCAATACAATTGTAAAATCCAAATATAATATTATTAATAATTATAATAATATAAAGTTATAAAATAAACCATATAACCTATACTCAATAGCCTATATTATGATTTTGAAAGGTGTGACTTTTTGCTCATCAATAATGTATAGTGTAGAGACAAGTTCGGTTGTATGGAAGTGTAATTTATAAGTACAATTATTGATTATTACTGTAATCAATGATACAATGTTTCAAATACATATTGTAATTAAAAATTAAAATGCACATATTTTATAGAAAAAATAATTTCATACAATTTACGTATAGTCAATAAAAAAATATAGAAAATGATTAGTGCTTTATGCAAGTTTTTTTTTATTGAAGAAAATTTTATTTACAATATATGTTACAATAAGGGCGATGGGGATGATTAGCGGGAGGGGGGAAAGTCACCCATTGGTGACACCCCATGGAACATTTATATAAGTTAAAAATAAAAACAGTATAGGTCTAATGCTACAACAGTAACTTTGAAAACATAATAAACTTTAAGTAATAAAAATAATTAACTTCACTAACTAGGCACTTATATTAATCTATACATGATACATTTATTCTTATAACTCATTCCAAAATAAAATAATTGTAGTAAATGTTATCCTCATAGGATTTCAATTTTTTTTTTTTTTTGTTGACCCAACAGCATGATGAAAACAAATATTTAAGTAAGCAAGAATAGCTTACTATAGTATACTTAGTAAGTGTTCTTCTTTTATTATGATGTGTATAAAATAATTTTTGATATAATGGTAATATTTAATTGTTCTTCTTTCTAATTTAAAAATATTTGGTTTTTGATATATTTTGTTTTTTATTTCATTAAACATTTTGGGTTTAATATTTGGTAAAAATTATAAGATCGCAATACATTTTCTGATTCCTCACATATGTTCGCAACATCATGACTTAGTTTTTTCAAAGCATTATTTTGATATTTTTATTTTATTTATTTAAAATTGTGATATGAACAGTCAATCAAAAATCTGTGACATAATATATTACAAGTTATTTTAATTTTGTCACTAAAAACCCAGCAATGTAACTCGTTACATCATCTAAAGACTGTGTTATAGTCATGAGAACAAAAAGCGTCTGTTTGCAAATATGCAAGCAACATCTTTTTTTGTGAAAGCAAGGGTTATCCAACCAAGTCGGTGAGCAATCGATAAACTACAACATGTACAGCCTTTGCTTTTATGTTTTTTTAGTTTTATTTTTGCCTTTGTTCTTGGTATAGTTACCAATTGACAATTTTGACTTTCAGCAATTGTTTTTACCTAATATGCATTAGGATTTTGCACATCAGTGAATACTTTTCGTTCTCCTGACTATTTAGTGTATGGAAAATTTGTATAATCATGATCTTGTTGAACTGTATAATTTTTCGGACTTTGAATTTGGTTTTTCAGATTTTCATTTTGAACTTGTTTCTCTTTAAATTTGTACTTCATCTTCTTCTTGTCCAGACAAATTTTCGCCTTTTTCGCAGAAATTAATTGACTTGGTGATAAGGCTCCCATTATGTTATCATTTAATATCTCTTTATGTTCTTTTTCTTTTAGCAGTCTATTTAAAGTTTGTATATATTCACCATCTTTTTCAATTTTTTTTTTCAGTCTATATATTTGTTTTTTCAGATTTCCATTTTGAACTTGTTTCTCTTTAAATCTGTTCTTTACCATGTCCAAATGTCTCTTTGCCTTTCTTGGAGAACTAAAATGACTTGGTGATAAATCTCCTACTGTGCTGGAATTAAATATCTTACGTTTTCGACTTTTAGGACTGCAAGTTATGGTACTATTCTCTATGGGATAGTCCAAAGGTTCAATATCTAAAATGAAAAATTTCATTTATAAAATTAGATTGAGATGTTAAGTATACACATTTTGGATGATAAATATATCGATACATACATGTACTTGTAGAATCTGTGCGTTCAACACATGAGAGTTGTATAGCTTTTGGACAAGGCCTAGAAGGAACTTGATCATCCAAAGGTTTAATATCTAAAATGAAATAATTTACTTTAATGTAACAAATTTTGAATGATAAATATATCAATACATACATGTACTTGTAGAATCTGTGCGTTCAACACATGAGAGTTGTATAGCTTTTGGACAAGGCCTAGAAGGAACTTGATCATCCAAAGGTTTAATATCTACAATTAAATAATTTACTTTAATGTAACAAATTTTGGATGATAAATATACTGATACATACCTGTACTTGTAGAAGCTGTGCGTTCAACACATGGGAGTTGTATAGCTTTTGGACAAGGCCTAGAAGGAACTTGATCATCCAAAGGTTTAATATCTACAATTAAATAATTTACTTTAATTTATAAAATTTGATTGAGATGTTAAGTAGGTATACAAATTTTGAATGATAAATATCATGACGAATTAGATAGGTATCATCACAGTAGGTCTTCCGATCTTTAGTCGCCTATATCGTAGTTCTCCACTTCTTATTGGCTATCAATCATATACATATATATATAGAACATAGAACAAAAACAACCAATGAGAAGTGGAGAACTAAGATATAGACCGGAGGTGAAGGAGAGGCGTATCTATTACGCAAAAATAGTACAACTGTGATGATCCCTATCTAATTTGTCATGATAAATATATTGATAGGTACATACCTGTACTCGTAGAAGCTAAGAATGGAACAGCATCCCTTGAGAGGTATCCACTTAGTAAGAAGTGTTTCGGTAAAAAATGATCACTGCATATTTTGTTTGATGGCAAACACAATTTTATCTTACAAGCTTTTAACCACATTTTTTTTCTAATTTCATTTTTAGGAAAGCTAAAATAATAATATAACATCAAACATATTGTAATACACATTTAGCAGTGTAATGATCTTTGTAACCCAACATAACAAACAATATAAGATAGGTATTGTACTTACGAATGAAATGTTTCATTTGAACCCTTAATGTACAATTTATTACAAACAATACATTTCCTTGGCATTGCTAAAAAGTCTAATGAGAACGGAGAAATTTAAACCATAGACAGCATTGTAATAAATTAACAATTTTATAACGTGTTTTTATTCGTGAAAATAAATAAATAATATCATAATCGACATCGTACTTCGTTAAATGTTAAATAATTGATAAGAATCATTTATCATGATGAAACATCGATGTATACCTATATAATAATATTATGGACTATAGTTACTTCTATATTATCACAGAACAATATTACATAGCGCCATGCAAGGTGTATTGATATATATTATAATTATAGATTTATACAATTTATTTATTTATATATTGTTCTATGCTTCGACCATATAAACTAGTTTATATGGTCGAACTAGTCGAAGGTTCTATGACTCCAAGCATGATGTAGGTTAGGTTAGGTTACCTAATACCTACATTGCCTACATTGTGGCTCCAAAGTCCAAGTGATTGAATTTGAAATGAAATTAATTCATTTGTTATGATAAGAATATCAATTGATAATAATATCATATGCACGGTTTAAGATAAACCTATACCATATACCATATACCTACTTGTTATTAGAATTTATAAAATATTAAATAATATGCATAATATATAAATAATAAATTACATATTATTTTGTTAAAATATTTGTACACACATAACTCAAGTACATTGTTATGATATTATAATTAATCAATACCTACAGGCTACAATATAATTAAGAATAAAAAATAATAATTGCTAATTGTATTTTTTATTATAAAGCACACAGCTCTATAATTAATAATTATTGATGATTATACTTTATTTGCTTATTGCTATTTATCATATATGTTGTACATCTATCCGGCAAAACTAAGGCTCTACATATAATATCTATAGTATCTATAGTGCTCTAGCAAAACTAAATAAAGTTACGTACTATTATAGGTATTGTTTTATGATAGAAGACTATACATGGACTGATTAGAATTAAACTTCATAGATGGCAGCACATAATATATATATTATTAGGTATTTCCATTGAACTATATAATAACTGGAACGCTCACCACACAGTGTGGCCCGAGCGAGGATGTTAAAAAGAGATAGCGTATATATTAGGAGTATCTATCCTTGTTTAACATACGGCGCCAAAGCACAATTTTATTTTATATCGCTATTTATGCGGCTTGACGCTTGAATCATAATTATTGAACTACGAGATATTTATTTTCAATAAAAATATACGTATATATACATATAATACGATGCATATTTGGATTAATTAGCATTAAATCTTACCTGCATTCGGAAATTAAACTGTCCGCTTGATAAATTGACAACCAATTAATATTATTTTTAGCAATAAAACTCTGTTGTTGATATATTTAAATTATTTACTTATTTATTTATTTAAAAAATGTAATATACAGAAACAGAATGAAATACAATTAATGTCTAAAATATTAAATACCTAACTATATATTTGTTTTTCCATTCAAAATGTATTAGTTTTTATGAAAAAATGTTAAATGTAATAATTAATAATATTATATAAAATATTTGCTGTACTGGGGGGGGGGGGAGATAGGAAGATAAAGAATTTGAAAAAAATTCATTTTCGGCAGGTGTTTGGTGCTGAAGAGGGATTATGGTTAAGTCGGGTTTATGATTAAAATCTTAAAATTACAAATTAAATTGTTTAGCATTTATTTATAGATGATGCATGTTAGAAAATAATTTAGGCTCATATATAAAAATGTCAGGGAGTCACAACCTCCCCCCTTGTTTTGCCCCTGGTATTTATGATACAAAACCTCCCCAAAATTGTATTCTATGTTCCACACTGCCTGGAAGGATTTGTATATTCTTCTTCTTTCCTGTAACATAAAATACAATTTAAATTTGATTGAAACAAAATAATAGGTACATTACTTCTTCTTCTTCTTTCCTGATTTCTAGGTTTAGCACTGCCTCTAAGGATTTGTATCTTCATCCCGACATTTTTCTTGTAATATAATAAACAATTTAAATTTGATTGAAATAAAATAATACATTACTTCTTCCTCTTCTTTCCTGATTAATATACAAAGTTAAATAATTTATATAATTATATAGGGGCCTATAACTTAAATTAATAGTACAATAAATATAATTACTTAATAATCAACCACAATTAACATTAATACTAACTTGTGAAATATTAACTCAGTTTTAATATCACTTGAACTAGAACAGTTAAACGCACTACAAAAATTCACCATTGTACCTATAGACTAGAATATAGGTAGGTACACGTCAATTCTATCAGAAAGCACAAAAAACTGAAATTGACGGACGTCGATCACAAAATTCACAAATCACAATATATTTTATGCCGGTAAACATTGAAAATGAATACAGTACGGCGTGTTATCAATAAAGACAGAGATAGAAATACCTAAAGTATTCGCCATTTCTTTCTAACACACTCGCTCGGTTTTATTTACATTAGTCATATGGGCGGTGAGCGTTCCAGTTATTATATAGTTCAATGGGTATTTCACGGATATTCAAACAAAATTTAAAACCACAAAAAAATTAGCATAGTGCAAAATGAGGGTAGAGCTTATAAAATGTCTTTATTTATTATAATATTTTTGGCTAGGCTTTGAAAAATGAATAAAAACGCCAAAAATATGGAATTGTGATCAAGAAAATAATTGAAAAAACTCCAATAATAGTAATTAACGCTGTGGCTAGAGACCCGGACACCGGGTATCTAATACGTACCCGGACACTGTTTTGCGCATGCGCGGGGACTTGTATATTTTCACCACGATGTTATCATTGTTATCAGGTGTTATCAAATCCTGTGTAAATTAATTACTTATCACTTATGTACGAATTACGATTCGATTTATTAGTACATAATGGAAATAATAGGAAGAAAAACAAGACTATTACAAGTGTCAAATAATTGAAGCGTAGGTATAGTATATTTACCTGTGTTAATCGACTTAATCTTGATCTTAACTATCATTCTAATAATTCATTTTTATAGAAATCACATTAAACATTTACATATTACATTACAATTTCAATAAATGTTCAAAAATAAATACTCTACCCGAATCTGCAAAAAAAACTGGGGTTGCCACTTGCCATTTAAAAAAAAGTAAGTCGTATTGCGCATGCGGCATGCGCGTACCGAGTGAGCTAAAAATTTGAAACTGCGATGGTCTGAAAATATGCATTTAAATGCTCCCTTTCACCTCCCGAAAACCCCATTTCAATATACAAAGTCATCCATCAGTGGTACCTAAAATCGTGATCACACTGTATGATTATATATTTGTATAATATTATGGAGATTCGGGTGATTTTTGTATTCTCTATAAAATATAGGTACATATAATACACTAATTTTTAATTTATTATACAAATAGCTTTTTGATGTGTAATGCTGTCACTGTTAAAATTGTCACTGTCAAAATTGTCACTGTTAAAATTGTCACTGTTAAAACTGTCACTGTTAAATTCAAAAATATGAAGAAAACCCAGAAAACAAACAGCCTCTGACTATTTTTAAATAAATAATATACCCTTACATTTGTGGACTAAGAAGAGCAAGGTATATAATTACAGTATTTTATCAAGAGGTATGTAATAAATTGCAATTGTCAAAACAGTTCACTGAAACCGGTTTTTTAAAGCATTTGAATTATAATATTATATAGAATAATTCAAATTTACGCGGGATTGATAACACCTAACCTACCTGATAACAATGATAACATCGCGGTGAAAATATACAAGTCCCCGCGCATGCGCAAAACAGTGTCCGGGTACGTATTAGATACCCGGTGTCCGGGTCTCTAGCCACAGCGTAATATTAAATCACTGAAAATTATTGTAAAAAGTAAATGCTAACCAACCTTTATATAGGTATATTTAAAATTCACTAGAGTCCCATCCGAATAAGCTGCTGTAATGATCTTTTGGATAAAATTCAGCCATGGTACACCACCGCGAATATATACGCTACGAGGAAAATAAATAAAAATGTTCACTAACTCTCATCGATAACTACAAATTTAAAGCTCGTTCATATTGGTAAAGAATATCAGCAAAGTATACGAAAATTGTTAAAACTGGCAGAGTGAATCCCGCGGGTAAATCGTGTGTGTAATAATATGTACATGGTCACGAGCTGTGTACTGCGTAGATAGCCTTAGCTGGTATATGTACCTACTAATAGTAGGTATAACATATATCTAACCCATACCCACCAATTTTATCGTTTTATACATAAGATATACCAAATTACCACTAATAAGAGTACTTATACTTTAAATAAATTTCCGAATTAACACCGTTCGTATATCAACACGTAGTAATATCTTTTGAATATGCACCGCAGTCTTGTCAACCCTATTCCCCAGTGACAGAGGTGTACAGCGAAAGTTTACACACGTGTCGCGGTCTCACGCAATAATGTATTGCACCATATGTATATTTGTACGTATAGGTGTGTACATTATAGTCCGTATAATATATAGGTATATTATTATATATAATATTAGCCAATCATGTAACTGTGTGCATCATATATATGAGGCTCTTGGGCGTCGTTAACCATCGTGTAAGCATTAAATCATTTACAAATATATGACGCCAAAAGGTGGAAAGACATTCGTTACAATTGTGTCCAATTTTATTAGCACGTGTATCACAGTGTATGACTGCTAAAGTCTATGCGTAAATCTACCGTGAATTATGCGTTATTATCTTGTCGAATCCTATTGTATAGAAACATACTGCGTGTCAGGTGCGGATCTATATATGCATATTTGATCTTAGATAAAAAGACAGACGTGAAAATGTGAACATACCTATTGTGATAATGGTGTTTGGTTGAAACTTTAAAAAAAATACGAATGCTAATATTATCATAGTAACTGTATATAAATATTTTTCGATTACTTATACAATATAACGGACATAAACTTTAATAGGAGTGTCGAGGACAAAAAATAATAACGAGCTATGTAT